TTTTTAAACTCATTGATATTGTGAACACCACCCCCTATTGATTTTGCTTGTCTTGCCCCATCTTTTTCCCCCTGTTTTCTTTGGGCATGGTATGCCTGGTCACTAAACAATGAAGATGTGATGGAAGGGATAGGGTGGGATGATATGTTTCATGTCCATGTTTTACGGCTGGTTCATGTCATCCTCAATCTATTCATTTTATGGGTTTGAATTTTGAAACATTGGATATTTCGCCCTTTGGGTGTTCCTCTTTTTTTTTTTTTTTTTTTTTTTCGGAACAGGCAAACTAACAGCTCTCGCTGGTTTGGGGGCTTTTCATATACCTTTGGTATATTTCAACCTTGTTTGCATATCCTTTTCCTTTTTCCTTTAGTTGGAATTTGTCAAATATCCAGACTCTCAAGAACCCCTTGTTTTCGCCCTGATGATGATGATGATTATGATGATGAATGTGCTTCATTTGAAAAGTCTCTTGTTGTCTTCTTCCAGTTTTTTGTTTTTATATTAGGTTATTACTCCTCTAGTATATGTCACACTTGTGGTCGTGATCATTGCATTGCCGCTGGGAATTTTTTTTTTTTTTTTTTTTTTCTGTTTGCTGTTTGTTATTTGCTGTTTGATTCTACTTTGACCCCCTTTTTGTCCATTCATGTGATGTTTGTTATTTGATGTCATTTATTCTCATTTACATGATATCTGACGGGCTTGCTCACTGGCTGAGGACAGGAAATAGAAGCTAATGAGAGAGAAAGTGACACTGGGTTACAATGAGGAATATGAGACCGATGATTGAAGATAACACTATACTTTGGAACTTTATTTAATAACTATACAGTACTTTTCTCCTTCTACTCCATGTTTACCATTCGAGCTTGCGTTTTCTGTCCATCCTACTTGAGCAGTGCTTTTGTGAATGCGCCATCGCTCTTTTGATGAGTTAAAACAGCTCAAACGAAGATGATTCTTAAGGTTTGAACCAGAATCGCTGAACGGGGGGTAACTCCCGGCATGAACCTTAAAAATACATAGTTACGGGTTTACCAAGCCGTTGAAAAAAACCATACAAAGGGTTAAAGTTGCTCTCATTGGGGGGGTGGGCCATTTTGTCCCAACCCCAACTGGCGTCGAGAATACCCACTCCCTGCAAATGTAATTAATTAATTTACGCCTTGGTTCCGTCCACCCTCTCTCTCTCTTCATTATTAGTTACCCGTCCCCAATACTTCAACTCAACAGCCCATATAATAGTTACAAAGCCCGCTTTCCCCTCCTCCGTCACAGGCTCCATCCAGTTCAATAATGTTAAAACTCCGGCGCCAGCAACCGCTTTGCACTCCGGACGGATCAGATTTCCTTGACACACTGGGTGGTGCGTTGGTTTTTTTTTTTTTTTTTTTTTTTTTTTTTTGTCTTTTTCTTTTTTGTTTTTAATTTATTATTGGACAACTGCTCATTGATGTAACAATTAATTGGTAGTAATGGGGATGCAGCTGGAGAAGACTTTCTTTCTTTCTTTTTTTTTTTCTTTTTTCTTTTTTTTTTCTTTTTTTTTTTTTTTTTTTTTTTTTTTTTGTGGATTCCCGAACATCAACTTTTAATAAATATCAAAAGGGTGGGTGGTTACTATAAGTGCCTGTGGCGAGCCTGTAATTGGAGCTTGCAGGGCGGAGCTTGGCGCCGGCTAAACCTTAAACTCCCAAAACCCCATCATCCATCGTCAACAAGTTGGAGGGAATCAATTTTTGCTTTTCAAAGTTTCTTTCAGTATCATTTCCAGACGATCTCACGAGTTCACTGGGATTAGATGGCCCTCACCAATAGATTCCTCAAATCCTTTATTAAAGTCCCTGATGAGATATTCCGGGTCAACTTCGGGCTGGTGGTTCGTCTCCGTGAACACCTCGACCCGTCAAGGCCTCCGCCTGGGCCATTTGATCTTCTGACGGAAGCCGGAAAGGCCAAGCCCCGGGCGCTGGACCCCGCCACATATCTCTGTATGGTACAGCGGCATAACTAGCCATCAGTTGGCAGATACACAAAATGAAAGAAAAGAGAAAAATAATAATAATAATAATAATAATAATAATAATAATAATAATAATAATAATAATAATAATAATAATAATAACTAATGGGCAGTTATTGATTTCCAGTTCCTAACGGCGCTTCTATGCGTCCAAATTCTCGAACGCTCCAGAATCTTGTGCGTAGGGTGAAAGGGGATGTGTACATATATTCAGTGCCTGCAGGTGTGCATCTCCTTGGGCTGTTGCGAGAAGTGACCACCATTGACATCATAACTTGTGGGGGGAAAGGAACGGAGATTCCGGAGCATCTTATTCTTGTGCATGAATTCCGGGATCATTTCTCGTTGCAGGCTAGAAGGGAGATGACCGTAGAAGGTGAGAGATCGTTTTCTTGCGGGATAGAAGCTGTCTCCGTCTTCCACAGATGTTCTAACCAGGTTGTATATATATATATATATATATATATACCATAGAATTGAATACCCAAATCACAGACTTCCTGACTACAAAAGGTCATTGTTTCGCGAGGGAGCAGTGGCTGCAGGAATACCCCCATGCGACGTATTTCTGGAAGTAGGTGGCATCGACGATATGCCGCTGAACGAAACGGTATCTTCAGGAAACAACAGAATAAACAGAATCGATTCGCCAGGCCTGTCGATCACAGTTCATTACGAAGCTAAGTCGTTTGTGACGGATTTATCAGAAGGTATTAACATATTTCGCTTGACATTGGGATGATGCCGTGAAAAACCCATAGAGCGCAGGTGACTTGGGTAAATTCAGCAAACCGAGAGCGACGGAAAGGACTCTCAGCTCCAGCCAGGATAAGTTCAAAGGTTTGTTATATAGCAGGTTCAACATCGAAATTCTTTTTTTAGTTTCTCTGCCATAAGCTGCGTTGCCTTCCAGCATTTTTGTAAGAAGGGTCTTCTCGACGTCCAGTATCCAATAGGGAAATATAATTCTCGAAAAGTCCTCGTAATTGTGTTCGCGTCCCGCAAATTTTCCTCCCCTTCGAGAATGCTGATGAACTCTTGATGTACTGGTTCAAAAAGGTCTATCTCGATGGTATCCACACTCTCGAACCGGTGAGGAGAGTGTAGCATCTCAATAGGGCGTGAACATGCCCACTTCAGGTCAATGAGGCATCTGAGATTCCAGTCATCATCAGTTAAAATAATGTTCACATGAAGATCGTTCAACGAGTAACTAGATGAAAGGGGCCATGTCGAAAGCCCGGCTCCATGAAGTGAGATGCCTGGTCCTAGGAGTAGCTAGAGCATCTGAGATAGCTGGAAAATACCTTCAAAATCCTGTCGTTGATTGCGTTCGGTTGATAGTGTCATTGGCTGTCGTGGAAGGCAAGCGTATCAGTCACAAGGTTTTTATCCATCATGAACGCTTTTTCATTCCAAGTGTGGGAGAGCCGTGCTCCCTGGGACTGGTCAATATAACTACTCAAGGAGAAGATATACCCGACTTGAAGATGATTTAATGAGTCCTTGATCTATGAACAGATGCATGCCTCAACAGTATTCATCACTAAACAATGAAGTCAGCGATAATAGCCAGACAGGTTATTCATGATCATAAACTAAGATATTAGCTATAAAACACTTGACTCAGCCGGTGAAGGTCTGTGATCCCATACACGTTGCCCAGAAGCCAGAGCAAATCTGCACAACTTGAGAACAGATACTGAAGGGCAGCTCGTCTGAAGCCGTGATTATGTTCCTGTTTCACCCAGCAACTGAATCTACGGCTGATTGTTTGAGGAAACCTTTGACGGCTTGTTTATAATCTGATCTTGAAGGGCGTTGAGGAGGATATTTGTCTCTTCTCTTCTTCTTCTTTCTTTGCCCAGGAAGAGGTGACTTCGCCTCGAGCTCGCTTTGGGTGAAAATCATTGATCTTTACAATGGGATGGATGGTTCGCTTCCACCCGGCCGTCGATCCGGCGACTGCCCCGCAGCCGCACATCGCGTATGTATATATATATATATATATGTATATTCTCCCTTCAATTAGTTAACCCATCCTACAGCTCCAACCCTGTCAAAGTGGCAGGGCGGCCGTGGCTGAGATATACTTGTGCACCGATGCCCCCGGGGCCACCCTAGTTAACTATTTAGTTAACTCCAAATGTCCGTCGTCAACGGTGTTTGAAGTCTGTTTCAAGTAGCATTCTACAAAAGATAAAAGGCAAAACTAATAACGTACGTACTGCACAATTTGTTGATACCATATTCCAATTCTCTGTGAAGTCATTTTTCGTCTCTTGGTGTTTTTTTTTTTTTTTTTTTTTTTTTTGGCCTGTATGGACTCTAGCTAACGTTCACGCTGGCAGGAGTGTTACGAGCAGAACATGCGAAAGCGCACTGGTGGATCAGTGGAAACATTATCAACTGGCATATTTTCCTTTGATAGTGAAACTAATCCCCATGGAGGTTGCAACTGCCTCCGCATTTCCCCTTGCATCATTGTCAGCGGTTGGTTGAATAGTTATGGGACCGTATCTCCCCATATCTGGGTTAACACGGCGACAAAATGTCATTGACTGTCAAGCATCTCAACGCTGATACCACATTTCTCCTTACCTTTGACCCCGACGAGGGCGACTCAGCTTGCCGAGACCACAAATCATCCCCTTCGTTTACAATACTTGTCGACCCGTGGCTAGTGGGGCGCTCCGTCATCGGCCATCGCTGGTTTGTGTCTTCCGAACACAGTGTGCAGCCTTGCATAAACCATCTCTCTCAGCTCGATCAAGAGCCCGATCTGGTCATTGTATCGCAAGACAATCCAGATCATTGTCATGAATCTACACTATGCCAATTACCCAGAAAATCATCCAAGACGAGCATCGTGGCGGTTCCTAAGGCGGCAGAGGCTATCCAAAAATTTGATCATTTTCATCGTACCAAAATCGTTGCTATTCCCGAATACAGCCCCAAGCGACCGGAGTCAATCCTGCATTTTTCGATCAACCCATTAACGCAGACGGGAGAGGCGGGAGAAGTTACAATTGCTTTGGTACCCGCACGAGATCTGGCAGGGGTTCATAATGCAATTGGGATCACATATCTAGCTCCCACAGCGGGGCCGTGTTCTGAGCCCTTTTCAACTATCAATCTCCCACCACGAGATCCCCCTATCCATGGAGTGCTCCAGCCAGCTGAGGACTTATCGGAGAAAGGGCGGGGAGGGGTCGATAAGCGCGTTCCATCGGAGCCGATATCATCACCAACAAACATTGTTCCCAATCCAAAAGCATCTCCGGATCTTCGATCAAGTATAATGCCAAAACCTACCTTATCCCTACGTCTGCGTTCGCATATACAAAGTCAACGGCAAAATGACTCTAGCCGTCATGCTGGAATCCCCTCTCTCGCCCGCGAATCTCTATCCGCCACTGCTCCAACAGCATCCTCATCCCATCTGCCGCCCTCACTAAAATGTAAAAATGGCGATTCTACAAGCCATGCATTCCCTACCTGCTCACCGGAAGCACAACCCCCCTCTTTGGATTTGCCATCTGGATCCCCATCTGCACCCATAGTGGAATCTCCATCCTCAACAAATCAGATATCTCAAGCCGAGGCCATCACTGAATCCACAACTTTCTCCTCAGCTGCGTCCACAGCCACCGCTGAGGTATACCAATCAGCCTCCAGCCGACGTCCAGCCCCCATCTCCATCCTCTACACTCCTCACGGCCTCCCCGCAAGTCCCTCACTAGATAAATTTATCTCAAATTATCTACACATAGATCCCAACACCTCTGCCTCGCAATCTCTAACACTCCTAATCCACGCGTTTCACTGCGTGCAGAACCCGTGGTATCTAGGCGGAAATATTATTGCGGGCGCAAATCGCGGCGGTGTGACCTTGGCGAAGAAACTACGAGCGAAATGCTGGATTGGTGCACACGATGAAGAAAAGATCACTGGTGGGGTGGTTTCGAAGTTTGTTAAGATAGAGAAGGAGATGGTGGGGGATATTAGGAGGGCTGTGAGGGAGGGAGGGGTAGACTGCGATGTGCGGGAATTGGGGGTTGGAGAGGAGATTCTCTTGAAGGGGTAGGGTTGTAGAGGAAAAAGTGGAGTGGCAAAAGGCAGTTTTGGTCTTCCTCTTTTTTCCCTTGAAAGGTTTTTTGTACTGTTAATTGGTCAGCTTGTGCTAAACCCGGGATTGGGTTGGGTTCATCTGCTACATCAGTTTGAGAATTGAGGAGCCCTTGTCACATCCTGTTTATACTAGGTTTGCGTGTATTGTCAACTGACTTCCTATATTACAGCCCTGGCTTTCCCCCCCCCCAACTATCTTAGGTCAGACCAGCCACTTATTGCAGCTCTTGCTACACCAGCACACATCCTCCGTCGCATTAGTTTTCAATCCCTGCTGATGAAGCTCAGGGGCTGACTGGATTCTCGTCTTCCCACCGAGCTGTATGGGTGCCCCCCAACGTAACTCTAGCAATCGCTCCGCGTATTGGAAGTTTTCTCCTAAATTGTACCGCGCATTGGATGGGTTGGTTTAAATATATATATATATATATATATAATCTCTCAAATCTTGAATGGTCAATAAGCAGAGCACACTTTCCAGCAAAACTTCAACCTCGTCTACGGCCTCCTGAACCACCTGCAAACACGGGCTGTAATGACAATCGTACTAGCCCAGGCAAGATATCCTATCAACTATGACTGCTTCACATACACATATCGGCATCGAGCGCGGCGCTTTGGAAACTATGAAGGAGAAGCACATCTATACATGCGGACACACGGCAAACAGATACAAAATATGAATGATTCTAGAAACCTGTAGCGGAAGGAGTAAGCTGCAATACGGAGCGAGAGAAAACACGCTTATAAACTTTGGATAAATACAAAAAATCTTCGGTCTGCTAAGGTTTCAAGTTTCGAAAGAAAGAAATGGAAGATGGCAGGCATGAGAGGGAAGAGTGAAGGATGGAGAGAAGGCTGACATGAAGGATAAACAACATCTGGTATCGCTGTAGCCAAGTAGATTGTGGTTGCAGAAGGTGTGAGACGAGTACTTGAGTAGCAAATAGGAATGACGTGAAAGCTCAAAAGAAGAAAGACGTATTGGTATATGGCAGTAGACAGACAGATAGACAAATAAAGGGGCTGGTTTAGCTAAGTAGAGAAAACGGGCGTGTAAGGTAAAGTCTTGTGAGAAAAGTAAAAGATTGCTAGTCCTAATGCCCTTGAGAAAAGGGAAGGAGAATGAAAAGATAGACAAGACGAGGAGTTGGTGTGTTGCTTGAATTTATTCTTGCTCTCGCTACATGTCCCATTTGACTGCCAGTTGGCTTCCGAGACTTCAGACAACACTAGACTTAGTTGATGGAATTTCCGGGAAGGTAAAAATATAAGACCTCTCTTGAGAAGAGGCTCTGGGGTGAGGGCGAGGGAAGATCTGAAAGTTTTAGCATATTAAGATAAAGGGCCAAATAAAGAATAAAGAATAAAGAATAAAGAATGAAATGAAAAAAAGGTGAGGGCAAGATCTAGAATTAAGAAACTAAAATTAGCAGGAGGAAAAGTTAAAAAATAAGTAAGCAAAACAAGAGTTAAGTGTATTGTATTGAATTGCACATTGCGCCGGCCGTGCGTAGAGAAAAAACAAACAGAGGCTGTTAACACTGTCCATATATTAAAAATGCTCCTGGGGAAAGATGAATGAGGAAGCGTCTGAGGTGAAATGGCGGGGTGAGAGAGATCTGCAGACACACGTGGTTCTAACAGCAAGAAAAGGGAGATTACAGATTAAAAGACAGACAAATGGAAAATTAAAGAAAAGATTATAAAAAGTCAAAAAGACCTGATAGAAGAAAAGGTAAGAGAGGGGAATAGGCAGCAAAAGAAACGGGGATCAGAAAAGGAGGATATATCTAAACCAGTCAACCTATCACCAAGAACACGCGTATACATAGAGCAAGTTTATTAGAACCAGACACCCTCCATTACCATAACATATATCTGCGTACCCAAGGACGGGACAAAGAACCCATTCCTCATCTTACTTCCATGGTGGCCTTTCATTTATAGTCCTCGAAGAAAACGCAACGCTATCCCCAGATTTCGGCGTGCGCGACTGAGGAAGCATACTAACACGCCGTCCCGAATGGCCCAACGCCGTTCCAGGACGGGTGGTCCCCTTGTTCTTGCCATTTTCGCCCTCTCCAGCATCTCGTGTATTCGTGGACACAGCTCGCGTGCTCGGAATGCCAGAGTAGCTTTGCCGACTGCGAGGAATATTGCGTATTAGTGAGGAGGGGCTGGGCAAGGCAGATAGCGATTCCTTGCGGAATTTACTGTAAGGAGGGGGATCAATGAGGCGGGAGTGTGAAGGAGTTGGTGAGGCACAGCTGCGGTCTGTGGCGGGAGAGGAATCACGGCTCCTGGTGAGTCGGCTGGAGGGACGGAGGGAAATAGGAGCCGGAGAGACAGATGACTCGCGCCCAAGGGGACTGGGGAGGGGAAGACAGGAGCGGGAGCTGGTGGGGGGTGGAAGTTTGCGGTATGGTGAGGGAGTGGTGAGAGATATGGGTTTGAAGTTGTGGCCGACCACGAGGTCGTTTGTGTTGGCGCTGGAGTTCCAGCGGGGTCTGTTGGCGAGGGAGCTTGGCTTTGCTATAGAGCTTCGGGATGGCGGACGCGTGCTGGAGGGAGTAGGGGATGTTGCGGAGAGTTGTGGGGACTGGGAAGCTAAGCGACTCGAGCTTGAGCTGGTACGTGGTAATGAGGACTTTCGAGCGGCAGATGTGGCCTGCGGTAGACTAGAATAACTCTTGAGTTTTGGAGCTGTGCTTTTCGTCGCAGCATTCACCGTTGAGCTAACCCTTCTATTTGACCCGCTGGTGCTTGCTGCAGCACTTCCTTTGGCTGCATTAGCACTTGACATGACGACAGACGAAGCTGGCGAACTGTCGGGCGTATCAATGGCACTTCGGGTGATTGGGCTATCTAGCGTGACAATACTAGATACTGAATCTCGTAGCTGCTGGCTTCTAGCAGCATTGAGTTCCTCTAGCAGCGAGTCCATGGCACTTATCTTTTCGTGCATCGAATCCGATCTTGTCTTCAAATCCGTGAATAGTTGTATAATCTCACCATTAACCGTAAGTCTGTCGTTAATACCCTTCTGGATAATAGCTAACACGCGGTCGATGGCAGGGCTATAGTGAACCTTTTTAGCCTCAAAGTTCTCAATCCTCTTTGAAAATGCTGTGGAATTAAGATTGTGAATTCCCGAATCAATTGCTTCCTGGAGTTTAATGATGCTCCGTTCAACGGACTCGAACATTTTATGTGCCTGCTTGCCGGCATTCCTGAACACCAGAACCCATCTATCCTCTCCCAGCTCCCGCCGCAACGCTTCCGCGTCGGCTCCCAATTTCTTATATCCCTTCTCCAAACGTTTCCTTCGATCCTCTAATTCGTCACATGCGCTTGGGAATATCTTTTCTGCTCGGGATTGAAACATTGAAAGCCGCATTGGAAGGAAATCCAATGATGCTCGAAGGGGTTGCATCCTTGCAAACAAAGCTAACAAATTGGAGTCATCCTGGGGATTGTGGATGACAGGGGATTCGATGTTGGAGCTAGGTCCACCAAAAGCGGAGGCAAGGCTTAATCTGGAGGAGGAAGGTGTGTTGCCATGAACTGGAGATTCTTCGATGATGGTTTCAAGTTCGTTGATGTCGAGGCTGCTGCCAGGCTCTGACTCTGATTCTATGACCATAGTTTTGTGCCGTTTCTCTTCCATCTCGAATATCAATCGACTCAGATTGTCCACCTCAACACCCACATCACCAAGAACATTGGTCCACAGCTCTTCCCATTCCATGGCAAGTTCAACCTGTTCTTTGACGCCCTTTAACTGGGTTCTGACATCCTTCCAGTTCTTCAAGGTTGATTCCATCTGAACAACGACGGCCTGGAGCTGTTCAGAACCGACATCTGAAATATCATCCCGTAGCTGTACCTCTTCGATAGCCTTAACGTAGACATTTACCAACCTCTCGAACTTTGTAACGGCCTTGTCGACATCTTCCAATCCTTCTCTACCACCAGCAGCCGCCCACTCAACATCGTCCTCAGCATCCAACCCACTCAGAACATCCGAAGCCTTATTTATCCATTGCTGTATCTGACTTGCCGCTCCGGATAACGCTCGCACAGCAGCGGGGGCGGTAGAGATGGAAGCAATGCTAGCTTCAAGGGACGAGGGCTGGGGTAAACTGATCGAAGTTAGTTGGGATAGTTGGTTGCTAAACGACGCCCTGGAAAATGAGTAGATAGATTCAGGGCGGGAGAGGCCCAGGGGGTTGAAATATGACTCCACATTTGTGCTCGACCCACTAGTCACAGCTGTCACGGGCGGAGAGTCCTTTGGCGGTGGAGGTGCGCCTTCTTCGGACTGTGTGCTTGAGCGAAGATACTTTTCCAAATCTGTTGGACCAGTAGAGGAATTGGTGCTTGATCCCTGGGAAGTTTCCGTGCCCAGCACCGCGGTTTGAACTCCCTGCGTAGTCGACATTTCCGCTATTGCATCTACTGAAAGTTGTGATTTTCCCTCTTGAGTAGTCGACAACGACTCGGATGGATCTGAGACACTGACACCTGCTTCCCAGGTAGGAGCAGTCCTGGCTGAAATAGTATGATCGTCCTTCAGTCTCCCTGACTCCAGCTCGCTGGGGGAGGAGGCCAGCTCCGGCGTCAGCAAGGTGCGACGTCCACCACTCCAGGCCCGGCCACGGCGAAATACTTTTATCGAAAGGTCCCGATGTGCACTGTCTAGCTCCTTGAGATGGTCTTCTGGAATTTTGCCAATGTTACTGCGGCTACGCGGCTGTGTCGGTGTAGGCTTGGAGGAGCCGTCCAGCAGCTTGACTCTGGCTGCCAGACCAGGGGAGAGACGGCGTAGGAAGGAGGATCGTTGCTTTTGCGTGGCAGGAGACAGGAAGAGAGGTTCGTTTCTGGGAGAGGTGGTGATATTATTGTTGCTGGCGTTGCTCCTGGTGGGTTGGGTAGTAGTTGTTGTCGCAGGAGTACGGGATGTTGATGTTGATGTTGTGCAGGGCCAGGACGAAAGCGGTTGTACAACTTGGCTGGCTGATCGACGCGTGGGAGACACTGGAATGGGGGATGTATTGGTCGTATTTGCTGCAGGGGTTGTAGCATCAGTTGATGCTGATGAAGTCGACGCAGAAGCAGACACGGGGGCTGAAGCAGAAGGAGAAAATATTGCGCTCATGGAGACGATGGTCGTTAAAGGGCGAGGCTGGTGATAGTGTTGATAGTTTGTACTGGTGGTGGTGCTGTGGAAAACGTGGATGGGCAGCAGCTTATGGACGGCACAGGCGAGACGCGATCATCATTGCTGGGGAGATTGAGGTGCAGAATGGCCACAACAACGCCGGTAAGAATGCAGGTGTCAACTCAGCCCGTAGAGATGGGCAGGGAACATTTCTACTGCGTAAAGGTGACTCTTTCTAGCCCCCTTCCATGTTGTTCCGGTTGCTGAGCCTTTCTCCTCCATTATGGCTGTTCTCATTGTTGTTATTGGGTGGTCTGAAAAATCACCCTGGATGGTTAAAATTAAATATGATATGGACACCCGAATATGATTAGAAGCACAACCAGAAAATTGACATGTCTTCATTAATGGAGAGCTCTATACGAAAATAAAAATAAAAATTATGAAATTAGCTTTATATCCAGTTTTATCCTCGAAATATCCACCTGGAAAGACATCTATCTATTGCTAAAAACAATTTACCGGGCTTCCGCTAAAACCAAACCTTGAAAAAAAGAAGAAAAAATTTAATAATAATAATAATAATAATAATATAATAATAATAATAATAATAATAATAATAATAATAATAATAAGAAGAAGAAGAAGAAGAAGAAGAAGGTGAAAATTGACGCGATATCGATCCGTAGGAGATGCTGTTAAATACGTTCTTTGGATGCATATCCTTCCTCTCCATGTATGTACGTATATATGTATAAACAGGCGGGATATCGCGGGGGCTGAATGCCGATAGATGGGTATATATGCTATATATCTCCGAAGTAAATGGCGGGGACCGGGACGGGGACGGGACGGCAGAGACGATACAAAAGCCACATCCAAAATAGAACACCAGGCAATTTGCCAGGGGTGGCAGCAGCTAGAGTATGGAGAATATATATGCAAAGGGCAAAATGGTATCAAATGAGAAGACACCGGTGGTAACTAGACAGGAAGTACCAGTAAAATATCGTGGATCTCGTTAATAAAGAGGATATCAAAGGAAGAAGGGATCGTGCAGCGTTCGCCCCACCTGCCAAAACTCCTATTGATTTTCCCGTCCCATGAACTATAAGCCGTCAAATCCCGAGCCCCGGCACCAAGAGCGTGGCGGGCTCTACAGCTGGAGATGATGTAGCTTGCAGGGATGTCGTGGAATGTGACCTCTGCTCCTTGAAGTCGCGCACCAACTCTTCTCTCACCCCTTTGCACCAAGTCATTAGTGCAGTGTCGAATTTCTTCCACGCTTCCTCGCTCTCGTTGTGGACCACTGCCATCACGTCCACATCAAGCTTGATCTCCCACCGGATCTCAGCAGCTTTAATCCAATACCGCAGGTTCTCCGCCAGGCGATACGGTTTACCCACGTCTTCATGCCACGATTTGATCTCACCAAAGCGACGTCGTGAGAGCTTGACAGCCCGATTGTGAAATCGTATCAGGTCCCTGCCATCCTTAAGACGTTCTAGAAGTGGTGAGGGAAGGGGGGTGTTATCCGCGCAGTCCCAGGCGGGCAGTTGTTGTTTGCCCGTCTCCAGAAACTGGAGGAAGGCTCCCGCTTGCTCGTGCTCTCTACCATCCCACTCCACATTTGCCCAGGTAAAGCTTGATCGCCTCTGCAATTCAATCTCCTCAAGTTTCACCTCTTCATCAAGCATTTCCCCCGCTCCCGTAATCCACTCCAAAATCCGTGACCGCTCCTCCTCCTTCAACCCGCCCGCAAAATTCCTCGTAGCCCACCGTTTCAACACATCCAAAATCTGGAGTAGCTCCTCCCGTATCTTCCGCTCACTCTTAATCGAAGCTAAGCGATCCGGATTCTCATGAGAGGTATAGTATATCTTCGCCGCACGGATGGCGAGCGTAACTATATCCAAAATATGCATACCCTCAATCTCATGCCAACCACATGGAGACCTGGATGCCGTAGGTGTTTCCGACGCCACATCGTCCTCTGGGTCGGATAGCCCATCTGGCGAACGGTCCCTTGGTTTTGGAGAGAGCAATTGAGGAGTTAATTCCTCCTTCGCCGCCGTTAACACATACCTTGCCTTTTCCAAGGCAGATTGCAGATCTCTCCTCAAGGATTCTAAATCTGGAGGGGGAGGTATATAGTGGTTGCGGATGCTGTACGTACTGACCGTGGGAGGTAACATGACTGGCTCATTCTCATCCCAGCCATCGTCCCCAAGTTCCTCGCAACCAGCCATATTATCGTCAATGGGACTCTCAACCAAATCCCCGCCTAGCTGTGGCTGCGGGGTCAACATGAGCTTGGGAATCTCCTGCTGCTCCTCCTTCTTCGTCCCCACCTTGGCGAACTGCCCACCCTTGCCATCCAGCAGGCCTGTTCTCGCAAAGTAATATTGCAAATGGGCAATGCTGCCTAGACTCATGACACTCTCACGATTCCTTGCGGATTGTGCGAACTCGACGGCCTGGGGACGAATGTAGCCTCGTCTGCGCGAGGAGGTGGATATGGATGATTTGGCATCTCCGGAGAAGTTGGAGATGGAGGAGACGGTGGAAAAAGTGCGGTCGGGGGAAGGGCAGGAGGAGATGGCTGGAGTAGGGGAGAGGGAAGAAGAGCGAGAGACGGCTGGAGATGGTGCCTGGTCACCCTGATCCGACATTTTTTTTTTTTTTTTTGGGGGGGGGGGTTTGATTATAAGAGGTTTCGATAAGTTATCGGGGTGTTGTCTACTATTGTAGACAAGGCAGAATTTGATGGCGGACGAGGCTAGTGAATTAAATAAAGAATGAAAGCAAAGAAAAAGAGACTGCCCAGGTGCTCCGGAAGAATAGATACAAAATATGCAAGACAAGGCTTAGATTAAACAATACAATGGATGGAATATCTCCTGTCTATTAATATTTATTTGGAAGCCTTCTCTCATGAAGGCTGATGGTTGCTGTCGTTGGTGGTGCTTGGGTTCCGAGCAAGGTGGAGAGAACAAAATTGGCTCGAGTCGAAAGGGGCGTCGACTAAGCTAAGAATAGCACTCGCCGGGCCGCAAGTCAAATCAACAGCAAGCCAAGGGCAAAAACTCAGGGGTAGAGATAGCAATTAAAAGGGTATACCACGCGCATTTCAGTAGTTTCGCAACTTTTATGCGCATCAGCTTCCTTCACTCTCTCTATCTCTTTCTCTCTATCTCTCTCCCTCTCTCTCTATATATATATATATATACGTATATACATATAGATAGAGAGATAGAAGTACATAGAATTGCTCCCCCGGAACATATCTCCACATCTCCACATCTCCACATCTCCATATCCCCGTGTCTCCTGTCGTCTGCCTCTTCTGACCCTTTTCTCGCCTCGGATATCCGGTGCCAAGCCGTTTATTGACGAATTGTCGTTTTGGGACTAGCGCCTTCTCTGTGACAATGTCTCGGATCATGTGACATTTAGCTGTGCCCAATTAGGGTTTGGACCGTGCTCCGATATTGTGTTTGGTAGCCAGAAAGACATTTCTTGGCTTTTACGCTTCCAATATCTATCTTCAACTCCAGGGCTGCTGGGAATTAATCAATCACGGTTCAGTCGATTGAGCTTATAAAAGGTGTCAATTACTATTTGTATTAGTCCTTTTTTAGGGATACGTGTTTGCGTCAAGATTGCGTGTCTGCTGTTCTTCTGCTGTTCTTCTGCTGTTCTTCTGCCAAACTCCATGTCGAAACGAGTATGCACCTCCATCTCAGTATCGTGAATGTCACTGATAAGATCTAGATCTCATTCCGTGTCCATGGCAAAGTTCAAGGCATGTGCTCCGTACGCTAAAATATTCAATTACGCACCTTCATCAGGCGCAATGAGTTATTCGTTGTTAATATATCCGTATCTGCTTGTCAGGAGTCTGCTTCCGGTACAATTCCTCTGCATACTGGAATCTGCCTATTTATATCAATCGTGGAACTGTGCTGAATTCTTAAACTAGTGATTTCACCCAGCGAAATGCAAATAGCTATGGCTTAACTGGATGGGTGAGGAATACCAAAGATGGCAAGGTTAGCTGGCCCCGCCTTCAGCCCCCCCTTTTTATTTTAGTTCCTTACTTATACGGTTTCGTTTCTCTTCATATTACGTCCTACATGATACCAGACCCCTTATGCTTCAACTCCATTCTATTAACCAAAGAAAAAGATGTTTTCGTCTTCCTTTACGTACATGTGCCTACGCATGAATCATCCAGGGCTCACACATACATGACAGGTGGAAGGAGAAGCGCAAGGCGATGAAGCCTCTCTCGCGAAGCTGTTCAAAGACCTGAATCGGGGACCCCGACATGCACAGGTCGTGAAGCTTGAGAAATCAGACATCGAGCCAAAGGATGGCGAAACTTCCTTTGTCGTGAATAGGAGCTAGCTACAATTGTGATGTCTATGTCTGTGCATTCCGTTCAACATTGGTTCCCAGTCCGGTTCTAATGGACCAGGTATCAGTATTCCACAGTTAAATTAACTGCATCGCACAGAATTGATTGGTATATATGAGATGAGGCCTCTTGCTCGGAAGCCTGGGAATCGGAAGTGGCATTCTACCGTTTAGTCCCTTTTGATAATATGTCGGCCATCTGCGTATGTCTCCCCTCCACTCTGAGATCTACTCTTAAATGTGGCCACGGTTCATTTGGCGTGGTGAGGTCATATTCAAGGCCAGCAACAAACTCTCCAATTTTACAACCCCTTCACATCTCTCAACAACCGCTTTTGCCGTTCTGCGATAAATCATATATGAAGTAACTCAACTGCGCCAAATATTAATTTATAGGCTCACTACAACCTCCCAAGGATATCTGTCAAATATCGCCTTTACCAATATCGTGACATTATGTCGACTTGAGAAAAGTCCTTAGGGCATCTGAGGAATATTTCCGATTGTTTACCGGCCTTCGGGGCACTAAACCTTAAAAAAGCTCTCCGTATTGCAACCGTAACCGTAGATAACTAACTAGTTAACCAATTGACATTATTACATAACTAGTTAGCTCGAGGTAAGCTCGTTGACATACGCTCTTGAAGAGTCTTGTTGCTAAACATCGCCCTATATTTCTACAGTATGCACATGTCTATCATTACCTTCGCAAATTTAGTGGTTCCCAGAGAGAGTTTGTTTGTGAGCTCACATTAAACCAACGGCGACAGCAGTCCGCAACGACATCAACCATAGACCGGAAAATATTTGCACGGGAAGAGAAATTCCACGGTTTCTGTCTCGAAATGCAACCCGAACATCTCCTATCGATGGCAAACTGGGGAAATCTCTCTCTTTGGCTTGACCGAATCAGAAGCGGATGAGCGTTCGGTTGAAGACCTCGTCCAAGAGAAGACAACACTTCCCCAATCATCCGGATTGTAACGTAGCAAAAAAAAAAAAAAGAAAAAGAAAAAAAAGAAAAAAAAAATGCCTGCCGCCGGTTTACTCAACATTGACTGTACGAAATAGCTCTATTGTGTACAGCGCATGCACAATGTATGCTGTCTGGAGAATCCAAACCAATTCCTCGCATGGAACATCATTAGACAGGGTTAGTTGGATAAATCCGTAGCAAGAATATCAAATCAGCGACTGCCCTTGAGTCTTCTGCTGGCTAGTGGCTGATGGCTGGTGGCTGGTGTATTGAAGGAAGGTCAAGTGATTGCGGGCTGAATTGGAGGTATTTGTCAACCGTCTCCCAACTAGTTAAACAAAAAAAAAACTTGGGCATACGCCCAGTAGCTTTGAGACGATTACCGAACGGTTGTTGGTGAATATATAATGCGACCGGCGTAGCTTTCCAAGGTTAGAAGGGTTGGTCGAACATCCAAGGTTCCAATGTTTGGTATGGAAAAAACTCTATGATCACGCTGGGCCAACCGCCATCGGGAGAAACTGGAACTCGTAAACGATTAAATTAGGAAGCACCGAAAATCGATGTAAATATAGCAAGGATGAGTCATGTTAGTAGTTGACTCTTGTGCTTTCATGTGCTTTCATCTGCTTTCGTAATGTCCGAGTGAGCATGTTTGATCCCATTAATAATAATGTAACCAGGTTAAATTGCGGAGAAAAATCCATTATATTCCTGTGATCCCTTATTGTATGCCATTTGTTTCAGCCGGCTCTCCCGGAAGTTTCCGAGCGCTCCCAGTCAGATCGTGTAGCAAACTGTAAAACCCCCCCCTGTCCATGAATGAATGCACTGTCGTCGTCCCTAGGATGACCAAAGCAACACAAAACAATGGACCCCACTAGTTAGTACGGAACAAAACCATCGTAATTATTTACTTACTTGGATTTTGTGATCGAGACTTTGATTTGGAAAACTGTGATTGTGAAATTTCGATGCGAGAGCGTTTGTGTCTTGTGCAAGTTGTGCAGTGGAGCTTAGATGCAGCTGATATCTAATAAGGCTGACTGGGGGGGGCCTTGGATCGGCAAGCTATCCCGAGAAAGGCGGTGTCTACAGCGGAACCCCGAGGAGGAGTCTAGAAGGAGTCAAAATCCGGGGGGACGCCGACATCAACCGGCACCCTTTAAAACAGATAGACACTAAGAATGTGACCAATGTATCTAGCTAACGTTGACTCACTAACTAGCTGCATTGTAGCAATTAGATGCTGGAAATTATGCCACTAGCGCGGTTGGAGATAGACAGACAGCAGCCCATAAGCCGAATCAATACCTAGAACTCCGTTTCCCGAGAAGTCACCACTTGATGAAGCAATCAGATTTTGATGCTTGTTTGCTAGCAGTTGGTTAAAACCTGGCAGCCCCACTGCCCTGTCCTATTTATTATACAATCCTCAGGCTGCTCTCAGCTGGTTTTATTTGTTGTCCTTGTTTTGCTGATTGTTGATAAGTTAAATTCACCCCCCCCCTCCCTCCCCTTTTTCACTCTATCCCTTCTTTGGAAGTTGAAAAAGATAATAATAAGCTGTTACCTACCATATCACAATATCACCTGTCTTCATCAGGAATTTGGCCTGAATCAAAAGCCTTTTGAGAAACGTAGTTTCATCCCTCTGCTCGCCATGTATCCGATCTCCGCAGGACCAATGAGAACCTTTGTTCTCTCCCGCTCTGCCTCGTCCATACTGCGTGGCTCATTCGGTCAATCAACTGCTCTTTCCAGAGGTCTCCAGTGTAGGAGTCCTCTGCTCTACTATAACATTGCCCTTGGGAGCAAGAGGTGCTTCTCAGCAGGTCCCCGCCAACGAGCCAAAGAATATTTCCCAGCCCTCAGTGGAACAAAACATATTGTCGAGTCTGAAACAACATGGGCACATCCAATGTATGCTGTTGTGGTCACACACAACCGTGCTCTGCCCCCGTTTTGTCTGAGATATATATCTAACCATAAACCCAATTAGGTTCACCGAAGAGCAGATGAAGAGTATTGTCATCGCACATCGAAATGCTGAGACCTGGTCCGATTGGGTTGCCTTGGGAACCGTTCGTATGTTGCGCTGGGCTACAGATCTGGCAACAGGTTACAATCATCCCGGGAAGTCGGACCAGAATGAGCAATTTGTTATGACTGAGAAGAAATGGATCATCCGGTTCATTTTTCTAGAAACCGTTGCTGGTGTCCCTGGAATGGTTGGAGGTATGCTCCGCCATCTCCGAAGCCTAAGACGAATGAAGCGGGATAATGGATGGTATGTCTCTCTAATATATCTACTCCTGTGAATACATTGTCCTGATGCCAGAATTGCTGCCAAAAGAAAGGAAAAATAACCCCTGACATTCTTTCCAATTCTAGGATCGAAACTCTTTTAGAAGAAGCATACAACGAGAGAATGCACCTGCTGTCATTCCTGAAACTCGCTAAACCAGGGTGGTTTATGCGGCTCATGGTTTTAGGAGCCCAGGGTGTCTTCTTCAACTCTTTCTTCATGGCATACCTCATCTCCCCACGGACCTGCCACCGCTTCGTCGGGTACCTCGAAGAGGAGGCTGTTATGACGTACACACACGCAATTAACGACCTCGAAGCTGGGAAGTTGCCTGAGTGGGCCAACAAAGAGGCTCCAGATATTGCCGTGGCTTACTGGCACATGCCAGAAAACAAGAGAACCATTCTGGACTTGCTGTACTATATCCGTGCCGATGAAGCTAAGCATTGTGAGGTCAACCACACCCTGGCCAACTTGAAGCCCAACGTCGATCCAAATCCTTATACCTCGAAGTACGATAACCCCGATGTGCCTCATCCAACGAAGACAGCCGAGATAATCAAACCCACTGGCTGGGAAAGAAAGGATGTCATCTAAAATGGACAAGGAACCCTTTCAAATGCTGAATTAACGTCAACCTCTTATCAATCCTTCGACATATTTTCGCCAGGGTGGGGTTACCAAGCACTGACCCTTTCTTGCTTTGTGATTTCGTTTGTCGAGCCTTGAAGAAGACACCACTCTGATACCCCGTCTCCATATCCTTTCCACTCAAAATTACATACAAAAAAACAGACTAAATCATAAAAATGCATAATTGGCGGGGTGGTTTGGGCATAGCGGATGGCGTTGTTTTTCTTTTGCTTTTGCCTTGTTGTCCTCTCCTGTTGTGTCTTGCATAGTCAGTTAAACGGAGTTCTAATTGATTTACCATCCGCATTCTTTAATTTCACTTTTTCCGTCCGTCATTTGTTTTTAAGTTTGTTCTGCTTGTAAATCCGTTTGTCTGTTTAATTGACATTCGTGGGATGGGAAACCATTATGCGGACATGTTTGCTGTTCAAGTGACTTTTGTTTTAGAAGAGAAATGAAGTTTTGTTTCAAATGCATTCCAAAGGAGAAATATATCTAATGAAGAAAATTTTCAAAGTAATGAAATAGATGAATCAACGAGGACGAGGACACTTCGGTTTTGAGGTTTCTCCACACGTGATAGTTATTGAACCTCTGACCCCATTGCTTTCCCAACCTTCAACTTCCATCTTCGCCACTGAAGTTTTAATACTGTCATTCCGTCTGCCGGGAACATGTTTCACATTCCTCAGACAATGACTACTAGTCAACCGTACATTCTCTCTACTGGAAGAAAGAATAGATGAAATCTGAAGAACCCCCCATCCCGCTGACTAGGTGAGAAAACATACACCAAACGGCGGCCCACCAGGGAAGAAGCATGCCATGCAGTCTGGCAAGCAGGCAGAGAGATTGGGACATGGTCTTCCAACGCAATTCCGCTTTGCGGGGTGATTTTTCAATTGCTCAAACATCTCTCTCTGTTCCTTCGCAGCTGAATCGGGGATTAAATGCCCATCTCCATCACCAGCTTTCGCACCCGCAATATCTGGCCTCTCCTCCGGCTCGAACAACATCTTCACATCCGTAACTAATCGCCCATCCACAGTGCCCTTTTTGGCCGCTGCCAGTGTCATAACTGACTCCGGCACGTTCATGCCACTCGCCTCCCAGGCTGCGAGCTGATTCGCGGCGAATCTCGACAGTTGGTCTGGGTCGAGTTGGTAGTAGTCGAGCACGGTGCCGTTGGGCGTGAAGCTGCGGAGCACACCGTCGTTGCCGACGCTGAGGGCGCCTTGAGAGTGCAATTTCATTGTTTCGATTATCCGGGCGAGGGAGCCGGGGGTGTAGCGGGTTGTGCCTGTGCCCGTGGGTGGTGTTGGGTGGTTTGGGAGGGCAGTTGCGGTCTGCTGAGAGAGGGAGGGGGAGAGGGAGAGGGAACGTGAGTTTCTTGCTTTTAGGAATTCTTATTTATTGATGACTTACCAAAAGGAAAGTGGAGAGGGTGAGGAGAATTGATAATAGGATCGAATTGCACATGGTGATGGCTTGCGATCCGAATGGTTTAATGGAATACGTCTTATTCTCTGTTTCCGTTGCTGTTGACTTAAGAAAGTAAAATCTAAGAGACCTGCCAAATGGAGGGTCTTTATATATCCTGGAATCCATTGTCAATACGTGCAGGATGGAGGATAGTCAAGTATCAGATTTGACACCCAGCCATCAAATTTGAGGAGGGCAGGAATAGCAATGGGAACTCAGCCAAGCCATTATCTTCAACACCATTTCTCAGATTCTTCTCCAAAATAATCACAGCGAACAGTCTGAGGATCGACACCAATCAGATTATATTCCAAATCTACGAATGCAGAGTCAACCCCCCAGCTGTGGGTTTGAAAAGAGGTGTATGATCACAGGTTGTCTGCCTCTTATGCAATTTCATGGCACGAACCATGGCGACCTTTGGTTCCTCCTGAGGTAAGGTATTCTGTCCCACGCTACCTTGAAAGTGTTGGGAGCGGGTGCTGGAAACCTCAGCCTACAATCGCCCTATTGGGGGCTATTTGTTAACCCCAGCCCCCCCC